ATATTCCTAAAACAGAAGCAACTATCTACTCATACAACTCTGTGCCCCTCCTCCACTCTTCAAATTGCACTTGTTTTGATGTTTTCCAGCCGTTTAATTTATATATTCATGATATTTGATATTTCTGATATACAGACCACATGTTAAGCTTCACAACAGAAAAGATACATATTTTATGACTCCCTAATGTCACTGTGGGTGTTTAATAAGTATTTGTCAGATGGATAACCAAAACAAAACAAGTCATTACAATGGCAAAATGAGAGGCCAATTTCACAGATTGGAAAAATGGCCAAGTGTTAACATATTTTATAGTTGTCAGAAATCCTCATGGGGTCTCTGTGGAGACCTGGACAAGGGGAAAGATGGGTCTGGAATTTAGTAATACATGCACATAATATCATGACAGTTGTTTGAAGACTAAAAGAGAGTAAGTATCTATTATTTGAGTTAGGAAGAAATATTAATGCAAATTAGGAACATTTCAAAATGGAATCCTTACAAACCGTTTATAAAAAAATTAATCACTTCAATTTTTTTATCTGCAGTCTTTGTTTCTCTGACTACATTTTTGGCAAATTTCAGAATTTCTGTACTTTCTGCCCTTTCAGAGCTTATAAAAATAGTTTAAATATCCTTTCATCTATAATTTCAAGGCAATACAAATCCCTTCCCCTCCATAAATTTATGTGTTCTTATTTCTACTTGAGTGACTTCTATTTTAGGAAAACTATAATTATTTCTATTTTTTTCTCATTTAATATTAAACAATTTTAACTTTAAAGTTTAAGTTTTAATATTATACATATATCTAGATTATTACCATATTATAAATTTGTTGCTTAGATAAAATACAAATCTAAAACATTCCTATATATTGTTACAGGTATATACATCTGTAGTAAATGTTAAAAACATGCATTGAAAGAATAGTATCACCTATAGGATAATGTTCAGCTCCAGGGACAATTCTTTACATTTCCAAATACTTGCCACCATCTAAGCCAGCATTCTAAAACTAGTGCTGTGTAAAGCCAGAGAGTGTTTCTTAAAAATGTAGATTCCTGGGCTTCAACTTCAGAAACTAATGCAACAGGACTGTGTTGGGTTGACAATTGTGCACTTGAGCAAGAACCTCAGATTTAGCTGCAGATGATTAAAGAACCACCCTACAACCCCCATACAGAAAATGCACAGCTATGGGGGGGAAGGGGATAGAGGAGCCTGCAGCTCCAGGGAGAGGGCAGGGCTAGAACAAGATTTGGTTGTCACTGTTGGGGGGAATGCAAACTGGTACAGCCACTGTGGAAAAAGTGTGGAGGTCCCCCAAAAAGTTAAATTGGAACTACCCTACCAATCAGTAATTGCACCCAAAAAAATACAAAAACACCAAATCAAAGGGGTATATGCACCCTTACATTTATGGCAGTATTTACAATAGCTAAATTATGGAAGCGTCCACTGATAAATGAATGGATAAAGAAGATGTGGTGTGCACGTACGTATACATATGTATTATGTACATACACACAGTGGAATATTATTCAGCCATAAAAAGAATGAAATCTTGTCATTGCAATGACATGGATGGAGCTAGACGGTAAAAATGCTAAGTGAAATAAGTCTGTCAGAGAATGATAAATACTATATGACTTCACTCATATGTGGAATTTAAGAAACAAAACAAATGAGCAAAGGAAAAAAGAGATAAGCCAAGAAACAGTCTTAACTATAGAGAACAAACTGATGGTTACCAGAGGGAAGGTGGGGTGGGGGGTGGAGGAAGGATGATACAGGTGATGGGACTAAGGAATGCACTTGCCATGGTGAGCCTGGGTGATGTATTTAAGTGTTGAATTACTACATTGTATACCTAAAACTAATATAACACTGTAGGTTAATTATACTGGAATTAAAATTAAGAAAATGATTGGGTTGTCATGGTCGGTGGCAGCAGTTCTGAGCATGGAAGTGGATGGGAGAAAAATGAAGAGTGGTGGGCCCAGTAAAGAATGCCAAAGAGCAAGAAGCAGAAAAAGGAGGGATTTTCCAAGCAAACAGAAGGTATGGCTGCAGAGGGAGGAGGAAAACAGAGGGCATCATAAGGTGGAAGCCAAAAGGCCAAGTTCTATAAGAAGGGCATAACCAAAGGGCCAAATAGAACAGAGAATCAGGAAAGGGAAATGCTCATTGTCTGGAGAGTCTATCTCAGGGACTCTATTTGTTCCTGGAAGGTAGGGGATGGTATTATCAGCAGCTGACACATCATAAACACTCAGTAAGTGCTTGGTGAACTAAAGTGGACCAACAACGGTGACTGCCCTACAAGGATTTTAAAGAGCTCAGCCACAAGTCAGTTCCTTCAAGTACCCTCACTAGGATGTAACTATCCACAATGGAGAATTAATTGTAACCAGACTGATAGAACAGTTATTTTCCACCATTTACTGAAATGTGGACATGATGTTTATAAACAGTGCTCAACCTCTGTGTCTATGTAAGGGAATTCTGGACAATGGAGTTTTATTAGTAATTAAAAGAAAAAAAAGCAAAGATCTTTAAAATCTTTACACTGAGGTTGTGAGAGTAGGTTATTTCCATACAAATGATCTGTCATGATCATTTGTAGAAGTGTGTTCAGTCACAAGAAGAACAAACCACATTAAAGGAAGTAAATGACTCTCCAAGAATGTACAAGTGTTGGTTGCTATGACAACTGCTGGGTTATATTACATAGAGAGCAAAAAAAAAAAAATCAATTAGAAACCACTGGAAGAACTTGCACTGGAGCATAAAACATTTCTGCCTCACAATTTCAGGAACTTTACTACAGCTATGCATTGCACGAACAGGGTTCATGTTGGTGCCAGTCAGAGGCTTATTTCTAAGAAAGGTCACCTTCTGGATGCATTCCCATCATTCTAATGTCTCTCCCATAACCTGCTCTTCTGAACACCCAAGTAATTTATTAAAGTAGTGAAGAATTCATGCAGTTACCTCTTTTCTGCTGGTGACATTAAACAGTGTTTGCCTTCAGTCCTTTTTTGTTTGAACCGAACAATTTTCACATTTATACAGAGAGAGACGATTTCGATCTGTGGAGCAGTTCCCCCACTACTCCCAATGTGGCATATGTCTGACTTGTGAAGAAAATACAGGGTTGAAGAGATGGTTTCAGGAACCCACTGTGCCAACCCTCTCCTACGTTTCTTTTCTCTTTGGAGATCGACTATTCTCCGATCCTAAAGTCTTGACCTGCTAAGAGGATTAAGGAGAATTGCCAAGTTTTTTGGAATTTTCAATAAAAACGTTGTTAAAGTGATAGAATGGGATAGCCCCTATGAACTAAATGCTAAAGGTTCAAGAGCAACCACAAAGACCAGACATCAGCTATGTGACTTTCTCATGGGCAGCTCCACAAACGTTTGGTGGAAGCATTCTTGTGGTCATGGGGTGACAGCCCTTAGTCATTAATGAGCACATTGATCTCACGAAGAAATGTTCAAGCTCTCGGAATGGACTGTGCTTAGTTCTTTTAGGAGATTACCACCTGATAGAGTGACCCAACTGGGACCCATTGAGAGGGTCTCTGCTTCTCCAATATGCGCTGCCCAGTACCAGCAGATTGATCTCAAAGCAGCCCTTCATAGCAGTGCTTTTCAAAGTGTAGGTTGAGGCCCATCACTAGGCCCTAAGATCAATAGTGGGTGAGACCGCTATTAAAAGACAGAGGGAGAAAGAGAATTGAATAGAAAAATATCAGAATGAATCTCATCTAGTAAGGGTAAATATACTTTGTGAAACTTCTATTTCTTTCTCTCTCTGTACATATGTGTGCACTGTGTTGCTAGATTGAACATATTTCTTACTGTAGGACTAGCCAAAAAGGCTGGAGAGCCAGACTCTGCCCTGCTAAGAATACCTCGATGTTCTCTGTTGTGTAAGGAGGAAGGAGAGGCGGAGGGGGAGGGGCAGAAGAGGAGCCAGAATAAAAAGAAAAGAATGCCACCTCTTTTGCTCTAGGGCTTCAGTTGTTCCCCAAATCTGCTCTCAATTGCTCTCTACTTCAGTAATATTACACTAGGTTCCAACTTTTCTACTTACTCTCCTCTCAATGTCCTTGCTCCATTGTGCCCTTTAATCATAAAGCTTCTCCTCTTTGTGGTTTTCAAATTCTATTCTCCTTTAGGGTCCGTTCAGGCCTTATCTTGGCATTTAACCCCTATGATCTCTATGTCCTCTCATCACTCACCTCTTTCCAGCTGTTCTGCTCAATTCCACACATTTTCTCTCCAGGTGTCCCATCTTCTTTGAGCTTTACCTGCTTCCTGTCCCACTCTGCTCTCACACCTCCTGGTACCTCTCTTCCAGTCTGCCCCCTTCCCTCTGTTGCTTTCCTCTTAACCATCTACCTCTGAGCTAATTATCCTGTTTTTGTTGTCTGCTTGTTTCTGCTTTTTTCTGTGGATCTCTAGATTTCTCACTTGACTGAAAGCAACTTGAGCCCAGGGACAGTGAATCATACATTTTTGTATGCCCCGTGATATCTGGCACAGTACTGGGCATATCATAGGTGCCCAGAACCAGGATCTATAATGTGCCCTATTCTGTGCTACTAAACTTTTCCAGTAGAAACCTGACAACAACAATCACACATGATAATAAAATGCTCACTCAATGCAAACAAAATGTTGTATATGGAGAAAAAAAAAGCAACTAAAAAATAGCAGGCAAGGCTTAGCCTGTGTTTCTCAGGACATGAGAATTTGAATACCTTGTACTAGATTAACATTCTGGTTATTTTGTTTTTGTAATTATGCTTGGATTCTGATAGAGCCACAAAAGTGAGAGGAAATCCATTTACTACTTACCGAGGATATGCTGGCTTCTACTGCAAGGTTGAAAGTCTTTTCATTAAGCCCATCCTAGCAATTAGCTGTGACTCTGTGCAGTGTTACAAATAATGACCAAGCTCTGTTTTTTGTTCACTTATCACTTACCAAGCTGTTCTCCTAAATGTTGGCCTCTCTCTGTTGAGATGACCCGCTCGTCTTCCATGTCACATTTGTTCCCAACCAGGATAACCTGGGCATTATCCCAAGAGTATGTTTTGATTTGAGTTGACCTAGAAGAAGACAATAGGCAAAAAATGATCAGAGGAGAACACAACATAAAATGAAGGAGAAAGAGTATGACCCACAGATGATGATAATAGCAAAAAGTGAAGCCCAAATGCCTGAAGTTTAGAATTAGTCCAGTGCAATCTCACCCTTCAGATACTCAGAGACTATTTATTTGTACTAAGAATTCTTTTTTATTTGGTGATATTAATATGACTACTGTTTTTTTCCTTTCTCCATTTTATACCTTATATAGTACCTTTATAGCTGGAATGGCCAACCATCCTGATTTGCTCATGACATTCCCAGTTTTTGAAGTAAAAATCCCATGTTCATAGAAACTCCTCAGTTTTAGGAAACCCAATTGTTCACTTTACAGCCCACCACAAAAAAAGCATCATTTTCCCTTGTTACAATAACAACTTAAAGAGCTAGGACAATTAGGGCCTAGGAGATATGGGGATAATGATAATATTTAAGAATGAATCATAAGAACTAATATACTCATGCTTTATATCAAGAGAAAAATGCCAGGTTCATATCAAAATTACAATATAATGGGCTGTGGGCTTAAGTTACTGTCAGCAGGGCGTCTAGAATTCCAGATAACCTTCTAGTATGGATCATGACTCACACAGTCAACTTCTGATTTTGAAACTGAGATAGAATTTTTATGGTTCATATTTATAGGTATAGTCCTAAATAATTTATATAGGTTACATTAATTTAATGCTCAGAATCAGAGGAGTATTGTTTATTATCCCCATTTTACCATTGAGAAAAATGAAGCATAAAGAAGTTAAGTAATCATTCCAAGAACAGCCCACTAGTAGAGTGGCAGATTAGGAAATTAAACCCAGGGAGTATAGCTCTCAAACCTATGCTCTTACTACTTATTACAAGTTTGAGAAGTGAAATTCTTGTGCATTTGTTGTCATTTTAGAGAAAAAGCTGAAAGGAAGCCATGTTCTTTAATCTGCCCTCTATATTGGTCATGTTTTTATTTGAGAACAGCAATCTAGGATAGTAGGGAAAGATATATCACTCCGTGGGTGGTCAAGAGCAGGATATAAAATGTTGAAAAACCAGATCAAAGTTAAAGAAAGGGATTTGTAAAATGTCAAAAAGAGAAGCTTAGAAATGTTTCTACTAGCAATTGTCAAGTTTTTCAAGATTATTAGATAGAAAATAGTGACACTCTGCTCTCAGCTTCAAGAGAGAATAAAAGCAAATAGCTTTAAACTATAACAGGAGATCTTTCAGTCAGATGTGAACACTGTCTCTTCCTTCTGAGAAGAAAGGATAGAGCTATGAGGCAGATAGTGTTTTATTTCAGAGCATTCCCCTGAAACAAGTTCAAGTTTTCAAATGAGACTAAAATAGCTGGAGAAATATACTCTATGTCCCATGTGAACATCTCCAAGGCATGGTATATTTTATCAGAAAAATCTGGAGACACGATCTTTCTAATTCTGATACCTAAGTTAATAATATATTCCTCTAGCAACAGGAGAGTCATCATGTATCATAAATTGGGAAAATAAAAACAAACACTGAAAACTCTAATTTTCTCTCACCTCATCTTATGTGTGTGGTCTATGAAAAAATGATACATGCATAGTGAAATTAAGGTGTAAAATGCATGCTACACATGAATACACCTTAAATCTCAAGTGCTAGCATAGTTTTAAAGAAATTCCAAAGGTTCTTTCAAAGGAACTCAAATCTAATTGGATTTCTTCAGGAAATTTTTTAAATTATCCCTCTGCTCCTATAGGTCTTATTAACCAAGGTCTGGCCTATGTCTGGAAAGGCTCTAGGCAGAGAGCCTTTATGTTAACAGACAAAGCTACCCTGGCACACAGCTAGAAATCAAATCACCGGAAAGAGGTTACTGAGAGGGTAGTCACAGGAGAGTGTTGTTATGTAAGGAAGGGGTTGAGGCTATGACATAAAGGACATGGCTTTCTAAGTTTACAGAGGACAAATGCTTGCTTGAAGCAATTTAGCACTCTTCGGAGCTAGGCAAACATCCTCTGCAACCCTGTTTGTATAAACTTAACCAGGGTATACCTTTGTGAAGGTGAAGAAGGAACAACTTGGCTAGCTTATTTGTACTCTTAAGCCAAGTTGATGGAATGCTTGCTTCTACCACTCAGCATGTGCAAGTAACTCATTTCTGATCTAATTTTTTAAAGATTTATTTATTTTGGGGGGGAGGGGCAGAGAGAGACAGAATTTCAAGCAGACTCCCCAGTCAGCTTGGAGCCTGAGGTAGGGCTCGATCCCATGACCCCAAACCATGACCTGAGAAGAAACCAAGAGTCAGATGCTCAACCAACTGAGCCACCCAGGTACTCTTCATTTCTGTTGATTTAATAACCCATGGGGTCTTAGGCTACTGTGACGAGTTACACATTTATGCATATACAACATTCCCCATTTCCTAACAATGTGTAAAAATATATAAATATATAGCCATGATTGTATCAAAACCATTCCCCTTCCATTTGTTTTTAAGAAATATTTTAATGTGACCTCCTCAATGTCCTAAATTGCCAAGGAAATGTTATTTTTTTACTATTACTAGGGAATTACTAAAAACCCTTACCTTGAAAGCTTAAATAGCTAATGGAGACCATTTTCTTTTTTCAATTGATTAAAATTATGGTCTGGGGCATTGTGCTGAGGTGAACAGAAGACTACTTTGCCATCAAATTTGGTTAACCTCATTTTTGGAATCAGGGGTGCAAATGCCCAGTGTTTTGCTTTGGTTTGACTACTGCAGACTTGTCGATGATGTCTACCACCAACAGAGTAGCTTTAGGCAAAGTCCAATCACCAGCTAGAGGGGATCAGAATCATGCTGGTTGACTTATGAATTACTACATATCACAGAGTCCAAGATGCTATGAATGAGAGGAAAATTATTTTATGAATGGCCAAGAACAAAAATAAACAGCAATGAAATTATTACACAATGCTTTCACATTAGTCCTACTAGCCACACTGATCAGTCAGGTCAGCTTTTTATTGTTTTGAAATTTTGTTCATGTATTCTGAGGGGTTTAGCAATTTTTCCTAACGGAAAACAGTACATAAACATCGTTCTATGACTATCTCAGTAATAAAAGTTGATACAGCCAACTGCTTGTGGGTATCTTTCCTTTTTAAATCCTGTAGATTGTTGCTTTGCAAGAAAATATGAAATGATGGTTATTATTCCAACAGGAGCATTCACGTTAAATTTATAACCCTTCCTGCTACTCAAATGACCCAGATTTGCACTTATATCATCTAGACATAATATGAATTGAGGTCAGAAAAAAGTTGGGTTGTTAATCCAATTCTCTTATCCTCCAGCTCAGAATCTTAGCAATTTATTCAGCCAGTTAAAACGAAATCTCTAATACTAAGTATGGGGAGGTCATTCTGCATTCTTAGCCTCTGTATCTTCATCTGTAAAATGAGGCTAGCAGATTTTGTACAGACTCTCTGGGCTGTTGCAGGACTCAGGTGGTTTTAGGTGGGTAGGGTCACACTCTACGTTCAAAGTTGTAAACAACTCTTTACAAATACATTATTAGTCCCATTTTAGGCAATCAGCTGTTCCTCTTCCCAAATCCAGCTCAACTCATCCTTTCTAATTCTTATATTCTAAATAATAATTGGAAGTTTTTTCACTAAAGAATATCAAATTTTGTTTCCAGTTCCTATCTTGAGGTTGAGGTCCTACATGGGCAAATTTCTAACTGGAGTAGAATGGCCTACTCTGGTATGTCTGTTAGGGATAGGACACATGTTTGTGAAGTAAATCCTCCTTAATGTGGAATTTCTACATATTTACTTTCTTGGTCATTTGCTATATTTTGTAATTTTTTTTTATTTGGGGAACAGGCTTTTAATCACCTTATTAGGGACTGTCTTATTTCTTTGCTGGTTAGAGACACATTTAAAGAAAGTGGCTGTCATGAAATAATATACATGTGAAAAGATTATTTCTGAATCACTGCTAGAGATCCTTTGGGATTTACAGTTAATCCCAACAAGATTAATGGAATCAGAAGCAATATGTTGGTCACCATGGTTACTCTATAAATGGTAATTAACTCAGACCTTACCAGTATCAAATCATAGTTATTTAAAAATCTGTTATTACCTAAAACAAAAACAAAAACAAAAAAACCACAACCCACATATATTTATATTTTTACCTATATAGAGAGAAGGTTTTTGTTTTCTGTTTTTGTTTTATATTATGAGGCAGAAGTAGATGAAGAGTCTTTCATGTTTTATGTGTATATGACTGAACTCTGCACAGAATCATTTGATTGGAGAGCTATAAACAAAACAATCAAATTCCTACATCATTACTCCTTCTTCCCTGTTTTGGGTATATAAGTAATTTCCTATGAGTTCAACCTGCTCTCACAGAGATTAGACTTTAGTTAGTCACAATGTTCTGGAAAACAGTATAAAATATGTATCAGTGACCCAAAAAAGCAATTGTCTCCCAGGGTCTGATTTGGGCTATATGTGGGAAGAATGGGGTATCAGAGAGGATAAGACTTGCTCTTCCTCACCCAGTGAAGCTTGAACAAATCTTAACAGCAGTCCCATTCTTAATTCTGGAAGTTCCTATGTCTCCATGGGCATCCATTCCCTTATTCTCATCAAAGTTTAGGAGTCACATAGCTCTACACCTTCTCAGCCAACTTCCAAGCCTACTACTGCTCATCATATAGGGATGCCTTTCTGTTACTTTCTCACTAATTTAATCATTTATTTACTCAATTCTTCTCAACCCATGGAGAGTTTTAAAAATTATTCCAAAGGAGAACAATTAAATCATAACCTCTAGGGACTTCATCATAGGAATAAAAAAAAATCTCTCTAGGTACTTTGTATGTAGAACTGAGGCTCAACATTACTGGGATAACTCTCTCCCTAGCCCTTTCCTTTTTAGGTTTTAAATAATCTATTTCAAATAAATGAATATACAAAC